AGGAAGAGAGGACAATGTTCTCTGAGCTTGCTTGTTTTCTTGCACACGTTTCATTACCCAAACTAGGTAACATCATCAGTGCTAGTGCCATGGGGTTTATATTCAGAGCCTTGACAACTGCCTCACATTTATGACGGTTGCACTGTCCCGGGGTCACGTGATCCCCTTTTGAGACCTTCTGACAAGCAAAGTGAATGGGGAAGCCAGATTCACACTTAATAACCGCGTGTCCTAACTTAACAACCGCAGCGATCCTCTTAACAAAGGTGGCGAGGAAAGTCAAACAATGCAGCGTCATTCACTGAACAGCTGTTCTCACTTAGCCGCATAAATTTGGGGCTCAGTTGTGGTCGTAAGTGGAGGACTACACCCGTATTGGTATACAAGTCAGAAATCCTAAAAACGGAACAAGCATCGCGCTGGGATGTGCAAAACGTTCTGTGCACAAACTATGCAGGGCTGGTTTTCGAGGGAGGATGTCCAGGTGTGAATGAAGCCCTTCTGGATATTTAGAATAGAATAGGAATAGAGTAACAGGGTTGGAAGGGACCTTGGAGGTCATCTAGTCCAACCCTCTGCTCATCCAGAAACTCTATAAAATTTCAGACAAATGGCTGTTCAGTCTCTTCTTAAAATCTTCCAGTGTTGGAGCATCCACAACTTCTGGAGTCAAGTTGTTCCGCTGGTTAATTGTTCTCTCAGTCAGGAAATTCCTCCTGAGTTCTAGGTTGCTTCTCTCCTTGATAGGTTTCCATCCTTATTGCTTCTTGTCCTGCCCTCAGGGGCTTTGGAGAAGAGCTTGACTCCCTCTTCTTTGGGGCAGCCCCTGAGGTATTGAAACGCTGCTACTGTGTCATTTGTGTCCATGGAAGGGGGAAAAAAAACCCAAATCGGGGGGCCCCCTCCGGGCAGAATCTTGCTTGGGATGGAGAAGCAGGAAAGAAACAAGGATTTTTTGGGGGGTGGGGTGGGATTTTCTTAGCCATGGTGACATGTGGGGAGCCAAGAGGCACAGAAGGACAGGGGTCATGCAGAGGAGCAGTGCAAGAACCCAAGCCAAGGTTATAAAATGGAACAAACATTAGTTAACAAATGTCCCGCTTAGCCACAGAAATTTTGGACTCCCGTTGTGGTTGCAAACCGAGGACTACCTGTAAATCCTTTGGGTAACAGATTTCTGGGGGAAAAGTGTGCTGACTCAATCAGAATCCTGATTAAATTTATCAGTTATTTTATACGTGCATATAAGGGGTCCTTGGTATTCTCTGAGCTCGGTTGTTTCCTTGCAGATGTTTCATTACCCTAACTAGGTAGCATCCTCCTCCTCCTCCTCCTTCTTCCTCCTCTTCCCTCCCCTCCTCCTCAAAAATCTCACTCCCTTCTAGCGCTGATGATGTTACCTAGTAAACATCTGCAAGAAAACCAGCAAGGACCCCTCATTTATAGAGCCTCGGTGGCGCAGTGGATAAAAGTGCGGTACCGCAGGCTACTTCTGCTCACGGCTGGCTGCCTGCCTGAAATTTGGCAGTTCAAATCCCACCAGGCTCCAGGTTGACTCAGCCTTTCATCCTTCCAAGGCGGGTAAAAGGAGGACCCAGGTTGTTGGGGAAAATAGGCCGACTCTGTAAACCGCTTAGAGAGGGCTGTGAAGCACTGTAAAAGCGGTATATAAGTCTAAGTGCTATGGCTATTTCACCCGTGAGCTACAAACGTCCTCCTTTATTGGTAGACGTGCATATAATGTGGGTTGAGCAGCAAAGGCGGCCCAGCAAGCAAGTCCTGGAGCGCATTAACACCAGGCGTGTCTCTGGCAAGGGAAAAAAAAAAATCACAAAACCGTGTCTCGCCTATTTTGGCTATGTCATGCGGAGGTAATCACCGGTGAAAGCAAATTATGCTTGGAAGAGTTAGCGGTGAAAGGAAACCAGCCTGCCAAAGAACACAGCGGCTGGACACCATCAAAGCTGACAGCAGCCTGAGCGTAGACAAAACTCAAAAAAGGAGCCGTGCGAGATCGGGAGATGGGGAGAGAGGCCCACAGAACAGCCAGGCATGAAATCATCATCCATGTGGGCCGTTCCTTCAACAGACAGCTCAACTCAGAAAGGTCAGAGTGCCCAAGGATCTGCTGATCCACTTCTGCAGAGGAAAGATAAGAGTCTTGTCCTTTGGACCCCAATAACTGTCTGGTTTGCCACAGCCACAAAACAGGACAGGGACAGACTTCAACAGATAGTTAAGACTGCAGGGGAAAAAAATTGCAACCAGCCTCTTCCTGCCTTCCGTTGAGGATAAGCATCCAGCCAATAAAAGGTAGTCCTCGACTTAGGACTACATCACTTCTGGAAGTTTTTAAGAAGAGATTGGACAACCATTTGTCTGAAATGAGATAGGGTTTCCTGCTGGAGCAGAGGGGGTTGGACTAGAAGACCTCCAAGGTGCCTTCTAATTCTGATTTGATTTGATGCTATGCTATTCTTGTTTCTATTCTATTTTTGTGGTTCAGTGAGTTTTGTGAGTGTGCTGCACGAACCAGAGAGGGCTGAGAAAATACCAACATACCCCTCACATACTTGACATAAACTGTTTCAACTTTTCCCCTCAGGATGATGCTATAGGCAAAGTATGTCAAAACAACTGGACACAAAAGATAGTTTTTTTTACCTTTGTGACACCACTCTGTTGAACATCTAATTCCCACAGTACTGTCTTATGCCTAAGGATATTTACCCATGTAGCAGGACTGTATTGTTACTCTTCTTCTTCTCATCTTCTCATTTCCCTACTACCTTCTCCTTATTAGTATCATAAGATTTATCACTTGTTTGCACCTTATGATTAATGATTTATGATCTCTGACTTATCGCTTTGTTATTTGTATGTAAACCGAGAGTTTATGCACTGGAGACAAATTCCTTGTGTGTCCAGTCAGACCTGGCCAATAAAAATTCTATTGTTTTTTTAACCTATTTTACATATGTTTAAAATGATGAATGGTATTTTACATGAACCCTAAAATTTAGAGGCTCTGGTCTGCTGCATCAAAAATCTGCAAAATGGAAGCTTTTTAAATGAAAGGTTAGTACTGTTCAGAGCACCGGCCATAAAACATTCTCTGACATCCAGCACATGTGCCTGCAACAAGGTAAAACAGCACTTACGACAAACATATAGGTAGCTCAAATCAGTGAGCCAAGCCGCGTCATACTGAAAACGCCAAAACACAGACATTTGCCAGCAAGTCCTTACCGGTGCAACTCCAAAAGAGTCGTAATGAGCAACTAGCACAATGGTGGGCAGGTCTTCTCCTCCCAGGCCTGTCAGCCGCCCCTTGCAAGGAAAGAGGTAAAATAAGACCTGCTGCAAAATCATCCCAGCCCGATCAGCACAGGATACGTTTCTTCTTTCAGGTTGACATCTGTCACACATAAAGGGCCTTAAACTTGCCGAAACTTGCTTCCTTTCCTGATTCCTGCCCTTAGTATGGTCTACTTTAGGCACGGAAGCCTACCTTGGGCCCATTCACCAGGAGGCACTGAATTCTAGTCCCACCTTAAAGCATGAAAGCCAGCTGGATGTCCTTAGTTAAATCCAATAAGCAAATAAATACGAATATTAAAAATAAAATAATAAAATACAAATATAATACAAGGAGGAAGGAATATTAAGTATGTTCGCCACCTTGAATTATTTAAAGGTAGGGTAAAAAGTAATTTAAAAAAAAAATCTAGTAAAACTTCTTTAAAAAAAAAAAAGAACTCTCCTCATCCTTCTTGTACCTTCCCTAATAAAATCCTCAGCTGTGACCTTTGCTCTGCCAGCTCAACTAGGCCAGGGTGTTCGAAGAAGGCCAACCCCTCCCCTGGAAAGCTCCAACCCTTTTCCCCCCCGTTGCTTTGGCTTCAAAAATGAACCAAACTCCTTCCTTCTAGTTCCAAGGGTCTTCAAACTTGGCAAGTTTTTAAGACTTGTGGGACTTCAACCCCCACAATTTCTGAGCAAACGTGACCGGAGGAGGATTTCTGGGAGTCGCAAGTCTTAAAGCTGTCAAGTTGGAAAGACCCTTGGTCTAATTGCTCCTTAAAAGTCAAGGGCCCTCGGAAACCATGGGCTCAGCACTCCGGCCGGCGTGCTTTTCAATGATATCAAAGCGGCCTAGCAGGGCTCAAAGGCAGGCGCTGGGGAGGTCCTGGGGGGGGGGGGGGAAACGCCGTGTCCAAAAACCCTCCAAAACTCACTTCTATACTTGTGATGAGCCAATCGTTGACGGCTTTACTCTGAGCTCCGCTGGTCACCATCTGGAAGCCATTGGCCGTTGCGGTGTGCAAAAGAACTAGGAAGGAAAAAACGAGGGTTTAAAAGACAGGAGTCAATACAGCTGGTCCTTGACTTGCAGCCATTTGTTTTAGGGATCATTCAAAGTTACAACAGCACCGAAAAAAGGGGATTTAGATGACCGTTGCCGCACCTCCATGATCACGAGATCAAAATTCGGAGGCTTGGCAACTGACTCGTACTTATGACGGTTGCACTGTCCAGAGGTCCTGTGATCCCCTTTTGCGACCTTCTGACAAGCAAAGTCAAAGGGGAAGCCAGATGTGCTTAACATCCGTGTTAACTAACTGAATAACTGCAGTGTGATTTACTTAATAACTGTGGCAAGCAAGGTCCTAAAATGGGACACAGCTGCCTTAAGAACTGTCTTGCCTAGCAACAGAAAGTTGTGGAACTCAGTGGTGGTCATAAATCAAGGACCACCTGCACTGACACTCCAGCAATGGGTACAGTAGTCCTTGACTTACAACAGTTCCCTTCAGGACTGTTCGAAGTTACAACAGCACTGAAAAAAGTGACTTAGGACCGTTTTTCACACTTATGACTGTTGCAGCATCACGTGAGTCACATTCGGATGCTTGACAACAGATTCATATTTACGACGGTTGCAGGGATCCCCTGTGACCTTCTGACAGGCAAAGTCAATGGGGAAATCAGATTCACTGAACAACGGGGTTACTAATTCAACAACTGCAGTGATTCACTTAACAAACGTGGACAAAATGGGGCAAAACTCACTTAGCCAATGTCTTCATTTAGCAGCATCAATGTTGGGCTCAACTGTGGTCATAACTCGAGGACTACCTGTACTCAGATTATGCCAAAGAAAGGCAAGTATACAGAATACAGAAAGCCACCCTGGGCCTTTAGTGTTAGTGACTTGTCTGTTAACTCAGCCTGAAACTAACTGGTGATTAGAGATAACAGAGAGGAAATCGGTCTTTTGATTACTCCTAGAACTGTTTGATATTAAAAATAACTGCCCCTCAATTCAAACAGGTAGTTGGATCATTCATTGTATAATTTGGGGAGCTGGATTATTTCGGTTTTAGTTCTAAAACTAAATCGTAAAACAAGTATTCTTCAGAAGGGTCACCAACCAAATGACAAGAAAAGGGCTGTTCCCGGCAATCAGATGAGGACAAATGAATCAAAGGAGACGTGTTCTTGATTCTTGATGAATGTATTTTATTTTTTCTTATGTGCATTGAGAGCGTACACACAAAAGACAAATTCCTTGTGTGCCAATCACACTTGGCCAATAAAGAATTCTATTCTATTCTATTCCTTATTCTGTTCTATTCTATTCTATATTCCAATATCTATTCTGTTCTGTTCTATTCTGTTTTCTATTCTATCCTTTCTATTCTGTTGTCT